TTCCATATATTTGTACATAGATTAACGGCTTAATCTATGATTTGTACCATAACTTGAGTCGAAACTCGTTAATCTCAGGGGTGCTTGGGTTACAGGTGTCCTCAATCTCAATAATATATAAGAGAGTACTCGAGACGTTCCCATGTTGGTATGAACTTCATTAGGTTTAGGTAGCAGACAATTTGTTTTCACACCCTGTGAATGAGACCAGCCGACACTTCAAATACTTATTGAAGAATTGAAAAGGAATATTCTCAGATATAATTATGAGCATAAAAAAAATTGATAAACATATAAAGAAATACATTGAGAATTCGCATTCTCTATAATTTTGTGATGAAAATATCAATTCTTTCTCGGTTTATTCAACAGAAAACAACTATACTTTCCTGGCTATATGCCACGACGAACATTGAATTACATCTATATTGAACATACCCGATAAGAATTTGAAAACAAAATCTTCTGAAGTAGAGAATTTGCATTCTACTTCATATAAAGATATGCACACAATATCATTCTGAATATTCAACAGAAAACAACTACTTTTCTGGCCACGTCTAACATTGAATTATATCTGTTGAACATCCAAAAGGAGAGTATGGAAAATGAAAATTCTCTACTTCAGTATATAGATTTGGTTTTCAAATTCTTATCGTGTACCTATTCAATAGATGAAATTCAATGTTCGTCGTGGCATATATAGCCAGGAAAGTATAGTAGAAAGAATTGATATTTTCATCACAAAGAGAATGCGAATTTTCACTATATTCCTTTATATGTATATCCATTTTTTTATGTTCATAATTTTATCTGAGAAAATTCCCTTTCAATACTTTCACCCAATCAAGGGTTTCTAACTTTTGAACGATGGAAACTTGTTATTTTTATAGACCTCATCGCAGATTCGATCGTGATTAGGTTTTCTCAATTCAGAATTTCTTTCCACGTTCTGTATGATGAATATCAGTTTATCATGCATCCAAAAATTTATTGAAGAGTTTAAATGCTCAACATATAGGATCTCTAAAATAGCAGAGAGCAAAAATGAAAAATTATCAGTATTGCATGTTAGGTACTTCTTTGGTGGTTCAAAGTAGAAGAAGCTAGTCTGATGCATTCACTCACTGCGATAAGGATTCCGGATAAGACCAAAGAACAAAAAAGTTGTTCCTACCCTACCAAAATATTAGTTTTGATCAACTACCGAAACGACACCGGTGGCGCCATCTACCGACGAGTGAAGGGATCAAAGGATGGCGGTGGACATTCGATGAAGCGTTCTTCTTCGAGGCATACGGAATATGCACGGAATCGTGGCACAGAGACCTGCTTTGCCACGCAAGAAGGAAGGGTGCAAGCAATAGGCATCTGCGGCTGCCGTCAAGGCCTGCAAGGTCATTTTGCTTGGAGTGTTGGAGCAGTCTATTTTAATTGTTGGAGCCGTTGGACTCGTTGGAGGGTAAACAATTATTCATGGCCGTATATGCATTAGTATATCTGTTTCGACTTGTAATTCAACTTTAATTTCAGTTTTAATGCAATTTTTTCTCCACAAATTGTAAATGATGATTTAATGGACTCAAAAGATAATGTAGAATTTTATAGGATACCCTCAGTGGTTGACAATCACGAGAAAGAAAACAGTCAAGAAAAAAAGAGTTGTCTCTGGATCACTTTTTTGAAGAGCAGATGTGTCAGACACTATAAGCTGAAGAATGAATTAATATGTTCAAATCCTTTTATTTCAGGTATAAATCAAAATGATGAACTGGATTGAAGCTTAGCCAGAATATTCATGATATTTTAGGAAAACCAGCTAAACTATTTGAAAAGAACCACCCAGATGTGCCTTCTACTAAAATGGGTTATCAATCTATGCGCAATCAAGTCAAGAAAACAAATTTGAGACATATGAAAGAAGTGTGAAAAAAAAAACAACAAGAAATGTGTTCATCACCCCAGGCTCCAACAATTGCCTGTTTGATAGTGTTCTCTGCCTTAATTATGTTTTATCATTTATCAATATTATCAATACCAAATTATTCTTGTTTAATGCAGTATTCCATTTGTAGTACATAGGTACCTATACCAGAAGTACATACCTTCTCGTCTTCAATTTGTTGGTCATGATCAAGGATATGAAAATGTGGAAGTATTGGATAATGCCATCTTCCACAAAATCTATGGTTGAAAGAAAGAGTCAAGATACTCAAATTCGATGTGCATGATAGGTATATGTAAAATGGATAAATCAAATGTAGTTTTTACCCCAAATAACTCATCACAGGCCTTTTCATCTAGATATATTTTTAAGACGCATGCGCTCGTTTGTAGATTCAAAAATTCATTGGGTAATGCGAAGGTTAAGTCTCATTGGCTATAGTTCCAACACAAAATGCTGATTGGCCATTTCGAATATGGCGGGTATTATTGTCGTTCTGTCAAATGTCAACCACCATATGGGTATTGGGTATTCATCATTGAGAAACAACAATAACAACATAGTATTTTTGTTTTTATATTCCTGGTGAGTATTAATTGTATTATAATAATTCAATTCCAAAAAACGTTACTTATTCGTTACTGAGGAGTGTGGTACTGTGGTGTAAGTGTTTCGGTGAAAATGGCCGCCTCTGTCGTTGGATGCGAGATGTAAACAGAGAGCTATTTGTCATCTGAATGAAAAGGCTTATTAAAATCAGTACCAATGATATAGGTATAAGGCATGATGAAAATATATCCACCTTTGTATAAGGTATAGAGTATATATGGTATGGTAGGTATATGCACATCTTCATGAAAGCTCAGGATAATGATTCAGGCACAAACTAAACTTTCTTGATCTTGATAAGGTACCTATACCCATTATTAATGTTGTGAACATTTCTCAAAAATACTAAGTAGGTAGGTAGGTACTATATAGGTGAAATGGATATAGTGCAGATATGAAATTGTTTGTAAAAATGTATTTATTGAAGAAAACATTCTAGTATAAGTAAATATATATTATTTTTAGTTCAAGTCAAGTCAATACAGTAGAGTTATAAAATATAATTTTATCAGTACTTTCAAATAAAAAATATTTCAACTGGGCATGTATAGGTACTATAGGTTAGGTACGTAGATGATATCTATAGTCTTCATGATCTACATGAATGAAGGTAATTTCTTCTACTGATTCATTTACATCTTCTATGACCTGTTGTATTTGCCAATCATCTTCAGTTCTTGTACTACTGGAAGATGAAGGGTGTCCTACTTCAGTTATTCAATTGTCAAGTATTTGCCCAACTATTCTGGAATCAATACTACTTCGAAAAGAAAGGTTATTATTGCTTTCAGGTTCTTTGCTAGCCAAAGTCCTTCATCAAAAGCAATTCTCTCAATGAACTTGTTTTGGACTCCAGATCTGCCTATTTTTAGGTATAATATTCCTCATGTCTTTATTGATATTTCCAAATATCTACGTTGAAGTTCATGGCCTTTCTGTAAGGTCTGACTGAGGGTCTGATAATGGTCAATCTTCAGTTTCTTCTGAATTTCACGGAAAACAGCAATACTAAACTTGGGAAAGGATTTTGAAACACATCATCTAATATATAAAATTCTCCTGTCCCGGTGTTAGTGGTCGAAATCCTCCGAAACGGCTCGACCGATTCGTATGAAATTTTTTTTGCGTATTCGGTAGGTATGAGAATCGGTCGTAATCTATTGTTTTAATCGAAATTTCAAGATGGCGGACGAGTTTGTTATCCAATTTCATTCAAAATTGGTATTTGGAGGTTTTCGGGGTCGGAGATTACGATTGTTTCGCCAAATTTTGGAAATTCAAGATGGCGGATCCAATATGGCGGACGAGTTTTGTAATTATGGTCAGATTCCATTCAAAATTGGTATATGGAGGTTTTCGAGGTCAGAGATTAAAATTTTTCATCGAAATTAGGAAATTGAAAATGGCGGATCCAATATGGCGGACGAGTTTTGTAATTATATATGATCCAATTATATTCCAAACTGGTATCTGAGGGTTTTCGGGGTCGGAGATTATGGTTCGTTAGTCAAAATTTGGAAATTCAAAATGGCGGGCCCAATATGGCGGACGAGTTTTGTAATTATGGTCAGATTCTATTCGAAATTGGTATCTGGAGGTTTTAGAGGTCGGAGATATGAATCATTTGTCAAAATGGGAAAATTCAAAATGGCGGATCCACTATGGCGGACGAGTTTTGTAATTATGATCAGATTCTATGCAAAATTGTTATCGGGAGGTTTTCGGAGTCGGAGATGATGATTCTTTCACGCCCATTTGGTCACGTGCCGCAGATGCCTAATATTATCCATCTGGAGTTCAGTCAATTATACGGATATAATGTGTTGTTATCTCTTGCAACTATCATAAAGGTGATATTACCATGAATAAAAATCTCAATATACATTCAATAATTTGATCTCAATGTGCAAGCAATATTATATTAGCTCGAAATTTAGTAAATTATACTTATAATATATCGAGTTGTGATCTTTCGATAATATCGAAAGGATGGTAATGGAGCAATATGGAGAAATTGATATGACTCTGATATTGCGAAGAATCATTAGGTTTAACATTGTATATGTATATATGTGTTCCATATCGAATTCTCAATGAAAATTCAATGATGTGATCTCAAAATTATTGTAGCATAGACTCCCTGATTGAATGAAATTGTACCATATTTCAATATATCATGCAAATCATCCATATCTCAAAGTGGTCCAATGTAATATCAAAAGAAAAATGGAAGAAAACAACACAAAGTCGGTATATAAAGTGTGGTTGACCGACTTTGTGTTGTTTTCTTGAATTTTTCTTTTGATATTTCAATATTTCTACTCCCTGTCTAGTTAATTTGAATCACATATTAGGAGATTGATGGATTAAAATTCAAGGAAGAGGAAAATAATAACAGGGAGTCAAAAGAAGTTATAGGAATCTGATCAGAAAATAAAAACATATCCACATGAAAATATTTATACAGAAAACAAATATTTTAAATTTATTTTGATGAACAGCTGTGATTAAACAGGATTAAAAAACTATGTTCAAAATAGATAGCAAATATAAAATCATGGAATTATATTTCAGTACCTACCACTGATATATTGGGTCACTTTATTTAGAGTCACTCAACTATATCAACATTACTAATTTGAAGTTTCCACGATAAATCCAAAGCACTTCATAGCAATTCCACTTTTTAAATTCACCACCACAACTGAACAATGGTTTCCCAGTCTCAAAAATCAAATGTGATGTAACGTATGTGAGTAAAAAAATAAATATTTTGTCTTGGAGAGCTTGGACTGTCTTGACACTAATGAAGTGTCAACTTTGATACCATCCCCTGAATATCAATGGTTCTGGAAATATTTCTTCTTCTCTTCTGGATTGGGAATTATCTGAAAAAAAAAATTATCCAATCTCAATCACAACATAAATCATTAACCTGTATGATTTCAATAAAATCGGCCAACAATTTCAGTGTTAATGTTTTGTTTCCACTTCAAGTCGCAATTTCAAAAAATTCCTCATCATGACAAAAAATGCAATTGAAGAATTAATTTCAAGTTTTATTCCTTTGATTCATCCTGATTTATTTCACAAGATGTATACAAATTATATATTTCGAGATAAGCAATGAAATAATATAGGGTCTTCCTCTTGAAAAAATAAAATATTTTCAAACCCTCCGTTCGGAGGGCCCCATTCGACATCTGGTTCAAGATTGTCTTTTGATAACACCTCAATTAGTTAACGAGCTACCGATAAAGGCAATCACCCTGTACATCATGGTTGCGACGATTTAAATCAACTGATTTTGTCAATCTCAATCGTGATTTGAATCAATTTATAAATTCCTGTAATAACAAGTCGCCGAAGCTAACTTATCAAGAAATTCATAAACAGATTTGAACCTAAGTATTGATATAAGTACACTAATCTGTTGATTTCATTAACTGCCAAAAAGTTTATCTTTATTTAAAGACTATGATACCTTAATGCACCACATTCTTTTAATTTTGAACTCTTTTTCTTGATCAAAACATAGTCCTCAGCGCACTTAGCCCGATGAAAATATTTGTGTTATTACCCTAGTACATTCACTGATCACATAATTACAATAAAAATCATTCATTCATATTGTTTTCGAAGTCTTATTTGAACATAGGACTAGATATCAGAATTTCCAACCACATTTTGGACAAAGAAGAGGAAGAAATTGTTTGTCTGACTTCTGACAGAATCGCGCCTGCGCAAGTCACAATTTTATTTGTATTTGTCGTTAAGAGATGAAAGTTGGTTATCTCTTAGCTAATAGTTGATGAAACATAAAATTCAATTTAGGTGCATAAATGAATGAACGGGAATATCAAGTTTTAACTTATTAGTGAAGATGTTGATGATTGGGAAATTACTGATTAATGAAAAAGCGGTGTGCATAAATCCGCCTTAAGTGAAATAACATTACTAATCGTCATCAGTCCAACATTAATATTTAATCAACAGCATAAGTGGTTCTAAAGTTCATCATTTCCAATCAAGTGAAAAATCTGTATAAATGCAGCGTACATCTATCTTCGTATAAAGGGCTTTCATGCTAGGTTGATAGTTGCGCAATACTTGGTAACAATGTCGTGACAAAACTACACATCGAAAAATACTAGTAACTTTCGAAATGGGCGAACCGCGTTATCGATTTAAGTTGGCAAAACTGTACACCGATGCCAGATTTATTGGACATTTCTAGGAGCGATTTGTTGTGATCAGCTGCGATCTCTGCGAATTATTCATTAAAGACAATTTGTACTTTCAAGGAATTGGCAAGGTGATGATTCCGATACGACATCTGGTGGGCATATTTGAACCAGTTTATCAGGGCATTCAAGGTCATTTTTGCTATTGTTTGTTATTCTGTTCATTTAATTTATATTTCATGTAATTCATTCAACAAATTACTTTAATTTTCTGTTCTTGATTTTCTTGAGTACAGGACAAGAATTTAATATTAATTACCGACACGATTCTACATTTCTTTTCTGATGATGAAAAATCAGTTCAGTTGGATGGAAAAATGGATAATCGTGGAGCATCGAATATGAATTTGAAAACTGGATGTATAAATATGTACCTACTACAAAAAGTTACAAAAACCTATATCCTTTACCTTTTTCCACTTTCATTATTCCAATTAATGAAAACAAGGTAAAGTTGTGATTCATAGATACATATTATTACTGATTATTAACTATTTGTAGTGCCTATCTGAAAGAACATGATTGAAATGATCAACATTTGCATAGTAAGTTTCTGATGAAGTCTCCAGAAACTAGGACTAGGAAAAATAAGTTTGTCCCTTTCTTTTTCAAATACCTATTGTGATAATGAGACAGAAGAAGCACATTCAGTGCCTTGGACTTTTGAATTGCAATAAACAAGGGTGGACAAGAAAGGGTAATTTTGCACTTATCATGTGATGGTTTTTTTTTTCGAATCATTTTTTTGGTACTTACGTATTTTTGTCTGAAAAACACGAATTTTATAATGAAAATGTGAACAAACCACTAGCTGTCCAGTTATTTCAAGAAAAAGTTCGAAATTTTGCCTTTTTTCCCCCCCCCGTATTGGATGCATATACAGGTACTTGCTCTTTTTATTTTGTCATTGGACACTTTATATACTCATGATGTACTTCAATGACACATTTTAAGATGAAAAACTCAACAGGAACTATGATTTTTATGGCGAGTTTTTCATATTTAGTGAGCAATCATACCAGATGACGGCCAGTTAATCCATAGGCAATCCAAATACGAGATGTTAAATGTCAATAGATTGCTTTGGAATGACATCACACACGCAATTATTTCAAATAATATTCTTCCTTCTTCTCACTAAATATGGATAAATCACAAGAAAATCATATTTCTAGTTGACTCATATAATAATAAAAATGTGCCCAACATTGTGTGATATATATAAATTGTCCAATGATGGAAAAACAAGGGCAAATTGTTCTTAATGCGATCGAGAAGAACGGCGGAAAAGAAGGTGAAATTTTTAACTTTATAGTGAAATATAAATAAATAAATAAATAATGGTTTGTTCACATTTTCATTATCAAATTCGTGTTTTTCAGACAAAAATACGTAAGTACCAAGAAAAAATTTCGAAAAAAAAAACATCGCATGATAAGTACAAAATTACCCAAGAAAGATTACATTGGAAAATGTGCAGGTCAGTATTTTATTGTTCTATATGAAATGCTTCTCATACTAAGATAATGTTCATGATATCCTGCAGAGGATATCGTAGATTCCTATTTTTGTAGTATTATTTCTTTAGTATTGATAGCCAATTTAGATTACATATACTTCCAAAACTATTGAGTTGAAATACATGAGCAGAAATAGTTTAAGGAGATATCAATGATTATTTAGGTAGTTGAACATATCCTTTGTATTTAAAATTTTATCTTGGAAATATAGATTCATAATTTTGCTGCTTCTATGTTTTTATCAAACTGTTTTTTATTGGTAAGTACCTAATATAGTTCTAATTTTTTTTTGTTCTTGTAATGATATTTTCCAGTAGGTTTTTAAAATTCATATTTTCATTCCACAATTACCTCAATCAACAAGAGGTATATCTACCTATTACCTACCATGTAAATAACTACTTTAGCGCATCGTTAATTTATTCCTACATGAATTATTAAAGTCCTGGATTCCAAAATCATTGATAATTCTACATGTTCATGAAGGTATCTTCACTTGTAATGTAAGGGGAGGGGATAAAACACTATACATGAGAACTGAGGGGAGAAGTATACTGGTAGATTCTTCTCTAAGTACTTCTTTGGAGAGACACAATAGTAGGTAGGTTAGTGTTTTCAACATGAGGTCATTGAACAAAATATTAATTCATTATAATACATTGTACTTATACAGTGAAAAACATGTTTAGCCAATGTCTACATTCATTTTCAAAAATTATGAATCAATTAATTCAGTTCCAGAATACAAAATACATATTACATGGATATTTTTATTTAGATGAATTCAGTATAACAAAATGATATCAAAAAATGATTATCTACCTATAATTGTTTGTGATTTATTTGTGGGTCATTGGTATTCCTGCTATTGAATCGTGTTAATTGTGTTAATTCTCGACGTTATCACAGAAAATATCGAAAATCATTGTTGAATCATCATTACATCGTGGGCGTGTGATTGAAATAATACTGTCTTATGGATAGTATTGCAGCAACAAAGAAGCCTTTCATCAAACCTGCGACATTTTGTAGGATATCAAAATGACCCAACCATTTCAACTATCGGTGAATTAGAAAGAAGCTGATATATTTGCAATGGCACTGGACAATCTCAGCACAAAAACTAACCAAATGCGCTGTGCTAATCTGTCTACTGGCACATGTTTACACTTCACTCAGCTCTGGACTCAGCTTGTGCCTCAGATCCATCATATATTCCATACCAAGACCAGGAGATATTTCATATGACCACAACATGCTTATAGCTGCAGCCCCAGGGAAGCCCTTTTGAGCCAATATGAAGAAATAAACATTCCAACTCACAGAAGCTTCAAATTTATCAGTGATATGGGAATTATATCTCTCACAAAAAAATAGTAGAAGGTTCCAATGGAAAAATGTAGGACCTATAATGTCTTTTAAAATGAATTTCCTGCACTTGAGAAGTCTTTTCTGATGATAAAAAATCAGTTCTGTTGAATGGAAGAAATGGATAAACGTTGAGAATCAAATATGAATTCGAAAACTGAAAGCTGGCAGCTCCACCAAAAACTTCCTACCTTTCTTCACTTCATTGGTCCAATAAAGAAAACAATAAGGTAAATTTGTGATTCGTAGACATAGTTATTGCTGATAATTGATCTATGGCCTATCTGATAGAGAACATTATTGAAATGATCAACAGTTCATATTCTGTTTATGGGGAAATGTCTCCAGAAACTAGGACTTGGAAAAATAGGTATGGTCGTTTTTTATTCAAATATTCTCATAATGAAAATAAAGAAGCCAATTCAATGCCTTTGACTTTTGAACTGCAATACACAAGACTGGACAAGAAAGAATATGACAATATGAAGGTGGGTAATTTATGGTTTTTATTGTAATGCGCTTGCCTTCTCTAAATCATATTGAAATCTTGTTCATGGCATCTTGCCTAGGCCTTTATAGATTTCTATTTTGTAGTATCATTTCTGTAGTTAAATAGCCAATGCAGATTGCATGTACTTTGGAAACAATTAAGTTGGAATACAGCTCCCAATTACATTCATATGAGCAAGAACAGAAGCATATATGATAGATATACAGTGTGTCCATTTAGTGCGTAATTCTTTGATATCTCCAAAG